AGAACTAAGAAGCATACATAGATATGATTAATTATCACCTTTACAATAATTAACAATGACAAACATTGTAATATCTTTTGCTAGATTTAGATATGATAAACTGAGCTGAATAAACAATGATTGCATTATCCAACTCAAGTAAATCACAAGATAAACTGTTGCATAGACACAAAAAGCATTGCAAACAAAGGAAGTGTACAACTACTTGACTAGATGTTGCTGTGCTTGCAAGTTGGCAGCATAGAAAGTGGCTAAAATAATCATCAACATTTTACCCATGTACTTTCAGGTTGACAGTTGGTTCTGCAATGTTTTTATAGAGCTGCAGCCAGAGCAGGGAGCTCACTTGCTCACAAACAAGATGGAAAAGACAGCTCAGAAAAATCACAGCAGTTATGCATTATTTTTGTAGGCTGTATCACCCTAACCTGCTGAATGACCCTTTGACTAGAGGAATGCATAATCACATTTTTCACAGGTGTGTGTTAACCTATAAGCAAAGATAATGGCTGCTGCAAGCACTGCTTATGGTACTCCCACTTGGCAAGTAAACTGTAGATTTGTGACTTCAATGTTGTGCATAACACAAAGTAACACACATTTCTGCTGCAGGTGAAATGTTTTGGTTACAGAATAATGTAATTAATGATTTAACTTGGTTGGTAAATACAGACACATACATACACAGTATTTCTATAAACAGTGTCTCATCTTGTCAATAATCTATCTATAGTCCATCCATCTATAGTCAGGGGCGGCAGGGGATATGGTAGTGTGAAAGAGGAACTTAATCTTGTTTCTAATTAAGCAGTTTCATCCCACATTTTTTCTGTTTAGTTCTAATATCATGTAGTCTGGAACCAGAATAAATAACAATAACAAAAGGGGATTTATCTGGCTCATTTGTTAGCAACTAACATGATAGATAAAGGGGTAATTTAGTGGGTATTTGGAAAGAGTGTGTGTGTGCGTTTTTAAGGAAGGGAGTATAACTTTGTTCTGATATGCAGGTCCTTGCCACAGGAAACTGGGTGTCTACCACAAAGAAATGACTGACAGCTGAATGTGTTTGGAGGAGGACTTGATGTCTGGAGGTAGACTCAGAAATAAAGCCCCTGTCCACTCTGTCCATTCTCAAAATCTCAGCATTGTGGTGAAATTAGCATGAATTAGAATGGAATGTAAATTAATTTTACAAACATCAGAACATATGTTCTTTAGCTAACACATTGGACACATATTCCGAGACGTAAAGGTCAAATTAGTTTTATATGTTTGGATTTCTTCAGACTTAACCTTCACTGGAATTTGATTAATGTCCTAATTAGAACAACAACTTTCTCAGGGAAGCAGGTCAGAGTTTAAGGCCCGATGTTGGACAATTGTTTTTGTCCCTTTCAAGAAAAACACTGCAAAAGACTTGGTAAGCCACCCACAGATCACCTCAGATATCCAAATATGAAATATTGAGTTGACAGCAAACACTTTTATATTTTTTTCAAAAATGAGTCATAGAAGTTTTAAAATTGATATGCAAAATATGTAAAGTTCAAATTGGAAGGCATTTATGTAACATACCAGTGTTTATTATTAAAAATAATATAAAACACTTGATCTAATAAATGTCATGTCTAATGAAACATCTATTCAAGCAGATTAATTACTACTATTCATATTAATTAATTACCACTACTCGTCTTGCCAGGAGATCACCGTTGCATGTCTATTAACACACTATAAGACATGAGCATACCAGTCAACCCAGAGATGCCTGGGATAAGAATCTGCCACAACCAGCGAACACTGACCTATACAGCTCGACCTGCCAAAACACTGAGGTAGCTGCTGTGATTATAAAACAGCCTAAACTCCACAGAGACTCGTTTTCGCATTAGCCCCCAAACAGGAAGAGGAAGGGGGAGTAGGCTATGTTTTATTACGATGGTCCAGATAACAGCAGACCCCTTGTTTATGTATTTCTCACCTCACTAATCAAAGCCAAGAGGAAGAAAAATCCCTGCAAGGCCACAGGAACTTAAAAGCTATGAAACTTTGTAAGTTAACGAGTCACTTTATTCAGAACATCCAGCCGCTTTTTTTGTTTTCTTGTTTCAACTTTTATTATATATTATCCTCTAGCTACTAGTATAAACAGGCAGTCAATGGGTTACTGATTGTCCCTTTGAGCTAATTAGTAATGGTTGTGCTGTGTTTTTTGACCTTTAAGTGTCTACACCTGAGGCTAATTAGATTTCTTTTTATTTATAACTTTGGGACATGGAGTAGCCACTAGTGGACACAGTGATGCAACAGTTCTAGCTATAGCATCACCATGCCACCAGAGATACACTATGTGGACAAAAGTAATGGGCAACACCTCTTTAGCTGTTTGTACAAACAGTCTCAATTAGAGCCTGCTATTGAAACTCCTTCTTCTAAGTATTCCACAATAAACTACGAGTTATGTTATTGCAAAGTGGAAGAAATCTTCAGATTACAGATTGTGGTTTATATCATCAAAAAGGCGTCAAATAAGCTTAAAAATGCTCATTTATAATATCCCTTGTGTTACAGCTTTGTTTCCTGTCCACTGTTGAGAAAAATAAGACAAGAAATGAAAAGTAAAAACTCCATCATCAGATACTGTTGGTTTGATGCTCAGCAGAAAAGCATCTTTGGACCCTGAAAAAAAACAACCATGAGCTGAGTGGATAAAATATATCTACTCTGCTGAAGTAATGCAACAATGATCCAAGTACAAAGGTTTGAAAAGTCTATTACTTTATGGTAGAAGACATATAATGAAGACAGCGTAATTATCCAACGCTCTTTAAAAGTCAGAGCACTCAATGGCGGCTATTAGTGGCACAGTGAGACAAGAGCAGCCATTCTGCCCAGACCACGGCCTCCATCCCTCATCTGTGATGTTGTGATCTAAATAATTACATATTTTTTGTTGCTGAAGTAGCAGAACTTCTGCTCTAAACTGCTATCATCGACAATCATCACATTTAATTCAGAAATTCCATTTTACTAAGGAAACATTCTGCCAGAGTAGTTTTCTTTGCTAAAACACATCAGTGTAAAGTACAGTTAAATAACTGATGATGCAAAGCTTTCACAATGACACAAAACAGGGCAAAGCATCAGTTGTTTTCTTATCAATACAAGAATAGACTGCCTATTTCTTAAATACAGTGATATTTGCCAAAGGATCAAAATAAGTCATATGCATTTTCAGAATGACTAATAAAATATAGTTTTAATTGTCACTTTTTTAAAACTTTTACTTCTTGGTGTTCTATGTTTACAAAAAAGGTGTTAAATTAAACGTGAATATGAAAAAAATTACAAAGACAGCCTGAAGTTATACACTGACAAGCTATTCATGAAGAGAAGAGAGATGGAAGTACATGCTATCAACTTTCACTGTGACTATGTTTACATGCGAGTGCTGGTCCTGAAAGGCCACTTCATCCAGATTAAGGTCTAAGGTCGTTATGAAAGAACTCTACTGTATTGCACTGTACTCAGCTGGAAAGTATCAGTGTCCAGATCAACTTCAATTCACAGAATCTCATTCAAAGCAAGACCCAAACTTGGGATTCTTCAGTAAAACCACAGACAACAATGAACAACTTCCATGTGAGGTTTTGGGAGCAGGAATAGGTTTCTATCATCTACATCTTTGAAAAATCCTTTTGGTTTTGATGCACCTCACCAATAATAATGTTGAGGCAGTAAATGACTTTGGGACATATAAAATCCTCAAGTGGATTTTTTGTGTTCCTGCAGTGATCCAGTATATTTCATAGCCAAGGGCTCTCAAGATTATCTGGTTCACTGCAGAACTGTACAATAAGTAAGCTTTTAAGTGCTGAGTGTTACACGCGACTGCTAATGCACACTTTGCCTGTTGTGCACCACAGCAACAAACATAATCACCATCTTAATACAAACCAAAGAAACAGCTTAATGTAACATAAACTTCATCTAATTCACATCCATAACTTTAGGATACTGAATTCTACTACTACTGCTACTCAGCAACTTTTGAAAAGCAGACTTAACAACACGTTTTTCCCTGAGAGATTGTATCAGCTCACCCAAATTCCACAATGACACAACAGTACTTGGGGTGATGAATGGAAGAAAAGCCATTTTCTTACAAGCTGTTATTTTACGGAAAATGTGTTTCATATCTTTACTTTAATCAGCAAAGTGGGTGGCAGAGTGTTTAGTGGTAACTGTGGCCTACCCCAGCTTCCTCTTGAAACATATGGAAAAAAGTGATGCATGAATGTATAATTAAATGTGGCCTGTAGTCTAAAGACTTTGAATATGACAGCAAGTTTTGATATTAGACAGCTTTGAATCATAGTATGACAGTGTGACAATGAAAGAAAAAGGAGCAAACTATAAAATGGTTAAAATATTCAAGAACAACATCTTCTCATCTTCAGTTTTGGTTAAAATGCTGTAAAGCAGTCTAAAGAATGATTCCAAAACACTTACTAGGCCAGCAATCGGTGTTGGAAGTCTATTGATTTTCTTCACCAGTCCAGGTCTAATTGAGCTCAGCAACCTGACAAAAGACGCATAAAAAAGAAGAGTTGTGGCTTTAAAACTTCTTTTACTGACAAGTTGATTTCAATACTTCAAAGCATGCATTTCAAAGATGAAACGTCGCTAGAGCAGAATGAAATAACTGCAGGCAAAATACATGAATAGGTTTAAACTGTGGGTGTCTCTACAGAGAAAAGAAAGGGGAATTTAAAGGGATAAAGAAACATTTCTAAAACTCCCCTGTGGCGTCTGGAACATCTATAACGACGACGCATCCTAAATCACAGTGGAGAATCGTTTCTGCTCCTTTCACCCACTGGGACCTGTTAACTAGTTCCAGTAAATGTTATATCACAGGGAAGCACACATGAGTAGGTTTGTCTTGGTGCTGTCATCTCTCATCAGACCCACGCCGATGCGAAACCTTTTGGCGGGAAGTGTACAGTACATTGCATTCCTCAAACTCTGCCCGCTTATCAGCCATGAACAAGCAGTTTCAGCATTCCCGCCTCTCTCTCCCTTCCTCTCTGTCTCCAGTTTCATCTTTTGTGCGTGTTTTCATCAGAGGAAGCGCTGTAATGATTCTCCTCTAAAAAGGAAAAATCCGCCCTTGGATACGAGGTATTAGATATCAACAGTCTTATGGTGTTCATAGTATTTCAGCAGGTATTTTGAGGTGAAGTGCTGTAATTTACCTTTTCAGTGAACTCTCTTTCCCTCAGCATGCCTCATGTACTCCTACGTTAAGTTAAAGATTTCCTGCTACACTGTATATTTCCAAGAATAATTCTGAACAACCCCAGGAGAAGGCAGTTCTTAATCCTACCTACATGCCAATATATTAAGATGTGTAGGTGGGGAGAATGAGTAATGGCATCAGAGAAGACAATATTTTCACTCTGAAAATTGCCTGGAATGTGAATGTTTGTCTGCTTTTTTAAAATGTAAGACTTTGTTTATAAACATGTTTTGGGGGAAATGGTTTTCAAATCCCACTGTGGCTTTGATGGAATTATTCAAACTTATATGCTGGGAAAAGAGGCCCACTTGTGTCTCCTGAAAATTTCACTTTCAGCCATTAACATGGTTGAACTGTGAGAGACATGTCATCTATTATCAAAACAAAGGCACAGTCAAAAGAAATCTAGACGCATAAACAAATAATCTTATGTGTACAGGGACATTTCCTAATTCTTTGAATATCAGGAAAATGAGGAAGAGGTTGGAGAGCATTTAAACTGATTCAATCAGGTCTCTTCTCTACCTGAATTATATGTAAATGAATTACTTGACTGGTTGTGCAGTTTTGGGGCCAAGAGGATGTCATATGCTCCAGTAACCAAGGACTCACAATTTTGATCACAGCTCTTGCCAATGACCTCTATAAATGCACTGTTTCAATGATCCCCAGTCTGTAATCAATCTGCTACAGTGGCTACAGTCAATCTGTAGCCATTTACTCACAAGATTATCCCGGACATTGCACGACTTTCCATTTCTCCGACAGCATCTGTCACTTTATCTCAGGACTTAATAGGGAAATCTTATGATGCCATAGCAATACTTGCATTGCCACTTTTAATCCAGCACAAATGGCTAAATTAGTCTTTATTTACTTGGTTGTAATTTCCCCCCCTTTTGTCAGTCACTTAGAAAGCAATGAAGGGCTTTTATTTTTGAGAATTACAGTACTACTGCACGTCTAAATATTGCATGATTTCCCAGAAATCCCCAAACCAGTGGGCACACTGGTAAATTGGCTCTGATATCTGTATTCACAATAAAGACAGCACAAACGCTGGGTTTGTGCAACACTGGCAGCAACTGGGACGTGGAAGAGGAAAGCGCAAGAGCATGTGAGTGTTTTCAGTCTCGTTTCAGCACCTCGACTCAATATGAGTGGGTATACCAGTTCAAGAGTCAAACTAGACGACAATTGAACCGGACGCCAGTCGTTTTGATCACTGGACCACACTTCAAAGTACTTGAAACAAAAACCTGCTTGACTGCTAAAGTTCTTTCTATTCACTTTAAATAGTGTGTGATTATTTTACGTTTACCAACCAGAGCATTATGATACTGAAACAAATACAGTACCACTATAAGTATTAAACCAAACAGCATATGTACAATTAAATTACAAAAACTTTACAATGAATTGGTAAGATGACTAATCATTGAAAACTATTCAAGAATAATAAACGTACAAACCAGAGATGTGTAACATTCTGCTACTAGATTATAAGAAAAAAACAAAACAACAACAACAATAACAAATATAGTCACAACTTACTCGCACAGTAGTATTCCATTCTCCAAACCTCCTCGGAAATCCTTCTCACCAAAACATCTTCCTGTCACAGCCTGCAGATGGGAGTAAAAGGATTGAGTTAGCAACATATAACATGTAAAGAGGGCTTCAGGTTAAAAGAAAAATTAAGAATGAAAAAAAAAAAAAGTGCACCAAAAATTGTGTTTAGTGGCATTCACTGCTGAAAACCAAAAAGCAACACTTATCAGCACACCTTTTAAATCTTTCTTTGAACTGGATAGATTGTGTGGAGAGGTGCTCAAAGACTTCTCGGACATATATCAAGTCCCTCTCAAGTCAACAACGCTAAACGCTAACAAGCTTGACATAAGCTGCAGTCATCCCAGCCAAGTGGCTCTGGCAGGCTAATGTGGTGGGACAGGGGATTTATCGGGTAATAGTTGGTCAGACCCTCTGAGGAAAAAAAGCTGCCAGCTTGCATGTGAACAACTACTGTACATCATAAAACATGCATTTACTTGGACAAATATTGCACCAGATATGTATGAATCTCAGATGTGACATTTAGTTTCAGTTACTGTGAGAAGTGATGGTTGTTCCTTACTGCAAGAGATTCTGGATTCTATTTTAAAGCTCTTAAGTTTTTTGAGCTACTTTTATGTGTAAAACTGGTCAATGACAAACACATGCGTGCATTTTGCACAGACAGACAAATAGACAGATAGATAAAATACAAGCAATCTTATACAATACAATCTTTAGTGCAACTCCAGTGTTGAAATAATTACCTCCAAAAATCTGCTGTTGCGAGACTTTTAGGACCAAGCCTACTTAAAATCTATTTATTCCCACAAACGCTGGCAGACAGTTGGTGTAAAATGAGGAGACCTCTTTAGAATGCTCTTTTAAAAGCCAAAACAATTACAAGATTAAATTTCCTGAGAATTTCTTTCACATTTGTTTGCACAGCTGTGGGGAAAAGAAAAAAAAGCGTGGAGATGTAGAGTATCTGGCCTGGCTGGATCTTTCTGTCAGCTTCTTGGCTAGTTTGGGAACCTGGACCTCTTACAAAAGAAATGGACTGCTGTGTGTCAATGAGTGGGCCGACAGTAGGCCTCATTTCTACGAGAGGCGTGATGTTTGGTGTTCAGGAGAGGCAGATATAGAGATAAGCAATGAAAGGAAAGTGGCAGAGAATTTATCACTTTGCTGACATTTAGCTATTCACTGCCACTATTCCATACTGCAGCAGCACTTATGAACAGGCCATTGTGTGTCTGGTGTTGACAGCACAAAAGCAATGAGTGAAGCCTGAGTGTGAGGCCTAAAAGTCTGCCTTACAGTGCAAACAGATGGTTCACAAACCCACACTGCAACGGACCTGCTCTGCACAAAGAACTAATATTTCTTGAATTAAACATGAATCGGACAAAAGGTCTATTCTAAGAGTTAAAGGTTTTTTTCTAAAACATGTGTTGTGCCTAGACCCTCTTTACAGACATACAATGCAGGGTAGGGATGCATGAAATGCAGGATTATGTGCCAGGAGACCAAAATTTGGACCTTGGTTTTACTTTTTCTCCCCCACTCACTGTTTGATGTCGTTTTTACTCGCAGGTTAGGATTAGTCACTAACATCTACTTGGTAAGGTTTAGAAAAAAATGACAACATGTTCCTTTAAAAGCGTAATTCCTCTTGTGCAAGTTGTGTAAGTGAGACACAGGGAAACTCAATCTTAAACTTAATCTGCAAGCAGGGAATAGAGCCAGTTTGTTATATTTTATTTGATTAACCTGCACAATAGCTGATGTGCAATATGCAGACTTGTATTTGCATTATTTTTCTTACAAATACCTAACAAATAAAAAAAAAAAAATTGTGGGAAAATGGCACCCCACAATAGTGTTCATGGGTTGGATGTCATTATCTTTAAACTTAATTTGCACTGCTGTATAGTTTATGGACATACAGACAAAAAGGAGCAGCCAGTGTGCACCTGTGTGTTTATGCACCAGTGTGCATAGATGTGTCTAGGACCACACTGTGTCATAATGACATGCCCGCACACACGCACACTGCGATAACAATCCCATAAATGGTCTTGCAGTTGGAAACAAGATACAACATGTTATAGAATGAGGTTCTGTGATCCTCCTACATGCATTTTGTTCCCTCTATATACAGCCAGGCTAGCCATTTCTCCCTGTTTCCAATATTTATTATTATCTGTTATAAAATTTACAGAAATTAGAGTGTTTAGAACGGTCACATCTAACTCAGGAATAAATCCAATAATTCCCCAAATGTTAATTGGTTTAGTCAAGCAGACGACTATCGATGTACATTTTCTTCATTGACTGCCAGTATAGTTGGAGTCACGTACGTTACCTTGCCAGAAAATTGTCTTGGCTCTTCGTGCTCATGCTTAACTTAAACAGTAAGATTAAATCTATTCCAAAACCACACCAAATAAATATTTTATAACACAAAAGATTCTTTTGTGAGAGATTTTACAACTAGAGGACAGCTAAATGATCCCCACTATTAGCTAATGGCATTTTCATCCTTTATACAGTTGAGAATGAAATTTCCAGGTCTTACAATACTTTGTAACATACTGTAGTGTTGTGCATGAGAGATTATCCTTCCCAGGGGATTAGCGTTACTGAATAGCAATCCCAGGTTTCAGCACATTAAAAATAGCATTCCCTGGTTTGGTTCAAGACAGCAACATTTCATGGTCAGTGGACTAGACAGACAAAAACAACACAGGCCATTATTCTTTAAAATAAAAAAAACTTTCTATGCTGACTTATAATGTCCTTAAAGGTGGTATTTTATGATTTCAGTGGAATACACATAAACTATCATAATTTCATGAAAAAAAGAAACAATGAAAAAAATGTTTAGAACTGTCCGTGAATATTAAGCTTTTTTGCCAAATCCAATAAATCCCATATTTCATTTTATTGGCCTTTAGTAGGTCAAAAATCCTCGGTGGAAACCAGTGTCTCCAAGGGTAAATCAATTAATATATTGCCTTTTGGGGTTCATGCACATTAATATCAATTACATGTTTGACTTCTTGCTAGAGAAAGTTCCGAACTGTAGAAAATGTAAAGGGTTTGGTATCCTCATTATCCTGCTTTTCAGTTTGGCAGTGTCTGCACACAAGCCAAGGACTTTGATTCATGCACATCTGTGGCACATCTGTTAGAAGACACTCCTAACTCCTCTGTGACCCAAGGGAATTCTTAGTTTGACTATACCATTTGAGCAAAATACAAAATCAAATGGACATATTAGGTAAAATACTTGTTGATAATGGGCATACCAGTGGTGACATTAAAAATAAAAATCATTATTTATAATAAGGGGCTAGCTACCTGCGTGGCCTTGCATCTCTGTTGCATCAGCTATTAAAATGTTATTACCTGCAGGTTAAATATAAAGACAGAAATCTACAAAAGAAAATTTCAAGTGGGCAATAAAGATTTCAACAAAAACATTACTTACAGCAACTATAATGGAAAGACTAATACCACAAAAACTATTTCCTGATCACAAAAACAAATATTCCGATGAGAACATTTCAAATTTAAAAGCTGTCAACGCAAAGATAAAGCTGTAAAGACCTGGAAGCTTCTGGATATGAATGTGTTTTCTAACCCCTTCAGGGTCATGTGAGGGTATTCAATTAAAAAGAGGAATTTGTTGCCTTTGTTGTTTTCAGTGGAATGTCGCCCACATTGTTTCACACACAATTGAACGTTGTTGATTGGCTTTACTTTCCTTCTTTTCACTTCCTTTTCCTTCAGAAGCCCTTCATGTGTCCAGACCAAACTAATTCTCATGGATTCATGTCTAGAGCACCCATTACTATTATTCTTACATCAACAAATAAAAGAAGTCCCCGTTGGTTTGGAAATGCATGAATGAAGCTTGCAGAGTCAAACTTTTGCCAAATCAAGTATCCCTGAGGGAGCATTGGTGTGTGTGAATCTAGTTTTTACTTTAATGAAACGATTTCTGAAAACGAATACCCAATAAAAGGCTAGCATGGAAACTCCAAAGAGACTTTGCTTTCATGTTCTGAGAGATAAAACATGTGAAGTTAGGAGTCTCCTCCACAGTTAAATCATATCTGACGGTGGACCACAATTTCAAAACAATTTACTAAAAAAATATCGCCAAGAAAAATGAAAAACTAGGAACGGCAGTCATAACAACAGCTATATCAAAGAGCCTTCCATCAAACCATTGAGTCTAAGACTATCAGTGTTGGCTCCCTGTCTGAACCAGATAACTGCAATCCTTCCACTGTGACTGTCATCCAATGAAAACAAAGCCATTGCAGTAATCTCAGAGGCCTTGCTTTGGACCACTACCTGTCCCAAATTATCAAGTAATAGCTCAAGATTTACAGAGAAGCTGTTTTTTGTGACTTGTAAAAGTAAAACATTACTTACATCAGGACCCTTGGGCAAAGTGTTATCGGCCTGTTAAAGAGCTGAAAGCTGCTAGCTCAGGGGCTGGTGAACATAAACAGAGACGTGCTTCCAACCCACAGACTGCTTTATAACCACATGCCTCCTTTGTAGTCAAACACATTCTGCTTCACAGGATGTTGCCTTAAGTGTGTTGCATAATCCTGGTGGAATCCAACACTGTGTGTTCAGGTCCAAGAACACATGTAAATACGTCTTCTGGCCTAGGGCCGGTAATCTTGTTAATTCAACTGGGCAGGAATCTATCCTAATCTGTAAATGCTCCTGATTAACAGAACAAAGGCAAGAGTATGTAACCTAGCAATTCACTAAGAAGTGCAGGAGGAACAGAAATAAACAATAATGCTGCTGCGTGATTTGTGAAGTCGAGTGTCTTTTCAAAGCAAGCGACACAATAAAACCACTCAATGTGTTCAGTACTGGAGAATCTACAGTAAATCAACTTTCCAGTTCAAGACAAAACACCATCTTGGCACAGAAATGGAGCGTAAACTGCCAAGTTTTTAATATCATAAAAAGATAAAATCTTGCCTCTGGCTTTTTTGAAAATAAAGGACTTGATAAAAAGGGAGATTTCCAAAGA